CCCCCCCCCCCCCCACCAGCCCAGAACAGGGCACTACTACTCCCCTGTCCTTGGGCCCAGATTAGAAACCCTCGTGGCTCAGCTCCCACATCTCACCACCCTCCCTGACGCTGATCCCCAGCCTGGTCAGTCCCAGGGGAGCTGGAGCACTACCTGACCAGAGGGGTGGCCCTCCCGTGGCTGCTCTGTCCCCCATGGGGCTCTGGCCTCATCCTGTGCCTCCTGCTTCAGGGTCTTGGAACATACCACTCTCAGGCCTGGAAATCTTTGCTTCCCTGCACCCCCAGACTAGGTGAGACACCCCCACAACACCCTATGGTGTCATGCCTCTGCTTGATGCCTGCCCCCGCACAGCCAGGGTGTGTGTGAAGGAGGATGTGCAAAGTCTTCTGCTGTGCCTGGCTCCTGTGCCTTCCCCAGAAGCTGTCCAAGCAGCCCGTGAAGGATACTCACCTTGCAACCACCTCACTTGCGTAGCGGGGCCGTAGCCCTTCTCATTGCGGGCAGCAATGCGGAAGATGATGGCGGGCTTGGTGGTGTAGTCAATGTGGGCATTGGAGAGGCTGGAGGACTGCACCAGGCAGGAGGGGCTGGGCCCGCAGTACACCCGCATGAAGGCCAGCTGGGCCGGGGTTGAGCTCTTGGGCTCGCCGCCGGCCTGCGAGCTCTGGATGGCCAAGTATACCGAGTACTCAACGATCTTGCCGGAGGTCACAGAGGGCGGCTCCCAGGTGAGGTGAGCACCATCTGGACTCTAGAACCAAGGGGCAGAAGATCAAGCCTTGCCTTCTTCAGCTGCTGTGGCCTTAGCCCACCCTGCCTGGCCCCAAAAGGGGCTAGAAACTTCCAGAACTGAATGTTCATACTTCACTCAAGCCATATTTCCCCTAACACAATAGAGATATTCCACACCAGAGTTCAAAGAGTTTCAAAGAGATCTGCCGCCAAGCGGAAGAAATAAAATGAGCTAGGATCAAAACATAGCCTTCCGATATATGTTCCCACTCTGCCACCGGCTGTATGACTTGTTACTTAGCCCCTTGGTGCTTGTTTATGCATCTGGAAAATGGAGCTTAACAACAGGACCCAGACCTCCTTGGAATGTTTTCAGGATGAGATAAAAGAACACACTGAACAGCACAGGACCTGGCACATAGTGGATGCTCACTGAACATTAGCTACCAGGTCAGAGAAGGGAACAGGCCAGATAGGGAAAGGAAGGGAACTCACCCTCGTCACATTGGCAATTGGTGACAGAGCCAGAACCTAAAGCCAGGGCTCCTGACACTAACCCCGAGGCAGCAGCCTGTGTTCACGAAAGGTAGGCCTGGCTGACTTCACCCACATCCCACGGACCCTCCTGAGTGACCCGTCTGGCCTTGCTCTGGAGCTCCGTGTGTGTGCACTGAGCTGAAGTCTGCTCTGCTCCAGGCAGGCAGAGGACCAACTGGGGAGAGAAGACCACCCACAGCAAGACTCACTTTGCTGATTTTAATGGCACAAGGGGCCCCTGGGAAACCAGGCAGACACGTCTTAAAGGCGGAGATCTCGCTGAAGGGCCCCCGGCCACAGGCATTGATCCCGGCCACACGAAACTTATAGGCTGTGCCCGGCTGCAGCTCCTGCTTCTTCAGCTGGTTATAGTCGGGGACAGTGCCTGAGTCATCCTGCAGGAAGAGGACGACAGAAGAATGGAAAAAGACAGAATAAAGGGACATGAACCCTACTGTCAAGAAAGCAGCTCTGGGACTGGTCGGCTGGCTCAGCTGGTTAGTGCGTGGTGTTATAACACCAAAGTCAAGGGTTCCAATCCCTGTACTGGCCAGCCGAAAATCAATCAATCAATCAACTTTTATTTTTTTTTCCTTTTTGTCTTTTTTCGTGACCGGCAACGGATCGCAACCCTCAGTGTCGCGCCCGTACCGGACCGTATGTGGGATCCGAACCCTCAATCAACTTTTAAAAAACACCATAACCTGGGCCGGCCCGGTGGCGCACTGCTATAGTGCGCTGCTTGGGAAGCGCGGTGGCGCTCCCGCCAAGGGTTCGCATCCCACGTACAGACCAGTTCCCACTCACTGGCTGAGCGAGGGGCGGGCGCGGCACTGAGGGTTGCGGTCCGTTGCCGGACACGAAAAAAGACAAAAAGGAAAAAAATAAATAAAAAAAAATAAAAAACACCATAACCTGGGCCGGCCCGGTGGCGCACTGCTATAGTGCGCTGCTTGGGAAGCGCGGTGGCGCTCCCGCCGAGGGTTCGCATCCCACGTACAGACCAGTTCCCACTCACTGGCTGAGCGAGGGGCGGGCGCGGCACTGAGGGTTGCGGTCCGTTGCCGGACACGAAAAAAGACAAAAAGGAAAAAAATAAATAAAAAAAAATAAAAAACACCATAACCAAAGAAGGTAGCTCTGGGGCTAGCCAAGCAGTTCTCACCTGTGGTGACAACGGGGGCAGAGGGAAAAGAGGTCAGCGATGGCTGCCCCTTCACAGTAAGGAGGGACATGGCTTTGTCAGGGAAGGACCAAAAGCTCTGGCTTCTTTTCTACTGTGTCAGGGGTAGGGTCTCCGCCAGGCTGTCCTCAGGTTTCCTTGTCACTCAAGTTGGCCCAAAGATGGAAGAGCTTCTTGTGAGCCCCTGCTCAGGGCAGCAGGGCCGAGCCCACCTCTGCTGGTATCTGCCTCAAGGCCAGGATCCACCCACCCCAGGGTGTCAGCTCCTTGGGACACTTACATCCGATGGGACAGCATCATCTGGCGGCATGAAATAGTGTGTCACCATTATACTGGTACCCTTAATGACCCCCACATCAAACCACTGGTTCTCCTTCTTCACAGGTGCTTTGCTGGGTGGGGGTGGCAGGTCTGGCTTCTGGAAGACAGTAATGGGGAGACGAGATGAGGCCCTCAATCTGAAGCAGCGCACCCCCTCCCTGCCCAAGGCCCTACCACACCCAGCTCACCACGCCCAGGGACTCGATGCCATTGGCCACTTCAGTCAGGGTAGCTGCGGCCTGCAGCTTCGCTGAGCTGGCTGCCACAACTGGCTGGGGGGCTACGAATGTGTTGGATGGAGTCAGGCCTGGGAAGACAGAAGGTGTCCAAGAGACATGCTCAGAGATCCAGTTTCTGTCCAAGGGCCTTGGCCCCCCCCCAGCCCACCTCCCAGCCACCATAGCACCGATTCACCCTCAGCCCAGATGCCTCCTCTCCCCAGTCGAGTTCTCTGGGGGCAGAAGTCAAGGCCAAGGAAGGGTCCTGCTTACTCTCAGTGGCCGTCGACGGTAGCAGGGCCACAGTACTGGGGACAGCACCGGCCAGCTCGTTGAGGCAATTGCTCTCGATGGCTGGGTCGTTGAGGCTATCAGCTGGGGCCAGGGCTTCGGTGGGGAGGTGGTGGTGCTGCTGCTGGGCCTGGGCCTGGGCCTCCTGTAGCTGCTGCTGCTGCTGCACCAGGGCAGCCAGCTCCTGCTGTGTCAGCACGATGGGGATGGTGGTGGCCTGTCCCTCCTGGCCCTCAGCTGACAGGTGCCCCAGCTCTGCCTGCGTCACGGCTGCCGCCGCCTCAGACGTGTCCATGGGCTCCCCAGTACCTGCTCCAGGGTCGAAAAAGACGACTCAAAAGGAACGCCAGCATGTCTGTCCAATGGAGAGAGACAGGGGCCCAGGTAGGAGGCCCACAGGGCCCGTCCTGTACACTGTTTCCCTGACCACCTGTGTCCCACCCACACCTCACTACAGGTTAAGTCCTGGCCAAGCGGCCCTGCCTCCTTCCTGGGCACTATCCCCAGCCCCTGTCCAACATGGCCCTCCCTATCACCCAGACTGCCCAGGACCCACAGTACCCATCTACTCCTGTCATGTCTGACTTGTGCCACCCTCACAGGAAGTGGACCTCCTCTTCTCAGGCTGTCCCTGTTGCCTGTCACCTTAGCCCTCCGTCTGGGGCTGTCATTCTTTCCGAGGGAACTGTCTTCTCCTTCAGGCTCCCTGTTGGAACCTACCCATCACGGCCTGCTGCGCGGCCTGGAGTACCGCCTGGATGGCCAGGGCCTGGGCTTCCTCTGTGGCTGCAGCCTGGGCGGCCGCTTCAGCAGCAGCTGTCACCGCCAGCTCCTCAGGGGTGAGCCCTGTTACCATGAGGGTGGTGGTGCCCGCCTGGGCCTCTGCCATCAGCTCCTGGGGAAGTGATAACTGGTCTACTTCAGACTGTGTAGGTGGGGGTGGCTGGACCACCACAGTGGCCACTACTGCTGAGCTGGCAGGCTCCTGGCCTGAAGATGGGTCCCCTGTGCTGCTCAGATCCACGGCGGCCTGGAGCTCAGGGTTCTGGGAGGCTGACAGGACCTCGGTGGACTCCCCCATCAGGGGTGTGGAGGCAGACTGCAGGAGTTGCCGTGGTGGCAGCTGCTGGCGAGGCCCTGGTGAGACCTGGAGCTCCTCTGGGGGCTGCAGGATGTCAACAGCAGAGAAGGGCATGTCAGAAGTTTCTGTGTTGGCTATGGTCACTGTTATCGTGGCTGGGATGGGGACTTCGGTAGTCAGAGCCCCTGGGGTAGTCTCAGTCATTGATGAGATCTTCTAGAAATGGAGAGAAGCCCCTGTCAGAGGGGAGGACAGCAAGGCCAGAACCAGGCAGCAGCAGGGCTGAGAAGCAAGACAGCCCTCACCTTTCCCCCAGGCCTGAGTTTTCATTGTTGATGGGCCACGTAGATAGACCCCGTGCTAAAGGGGGAAGGGGACGGCGGCTCACTGAGCAGCATGAGCAGAGGCGGTGCAGCACAAGGAGAGACCCCACGCCTACCGTACCCCCATCAAGACAAAGGCACTCAGACCCCAGCCGCCTCACTTTTAGAGGCTACGGCTTAACGACAGCGAAACGACAGGCAGTGGGAAACAAGAAAAGGAATTAAAGCCCCCAGCGAGGTGCTGCAGCCTCCTGCCTGGGCAAGCACTGGGCTGCCCTTTTATGGTCTGGAAAAGGGATGAGGAGCTGCTCAGTGTCTGGTACAAGAGCGACATCTGGTGTCCATCGCTGGAACAGCATGGGCCAAAGGCGCAGTGGGCAGGAAGGAGGCAAAAGGGACCCTCAGGGCTCTTACCGGCACTGAGGGGCCTGGGACCGGTGTGGACTGTGTCACAGTGGTCACAGCCCGCGTCAGCGTGGATGACACGGTTGTTGTGATGGCACTGGAGCTGGGGATGTTCACACTGTCACCTTGCGTGCTCTCCACCTCCGCCTGGTCGCTGGCAGCTGGTGGGGGGTCTGTGAGGGTGACAGGCAGGAAACTGGTCAACAGGAACCCGAGGCCTCCAACATGGCTTTCCCACCATAGACTATCTTCAAGGGGAGGCCAAGTGTGGGACAGACTCTCCTGGAGAGCCCCGTGTGTGTGTGACACAGCCAGGACATCCCTGCCCCGCCCCATCCCACCGGTAAACGGGGTACGTAACTGTTGGGCTCTGAACGCATCTTTCTGCCACTGCTCCTCTCCTCTGCTGAGCCTGGGGTCTAGGAGAGCACAGATGCCAGGCTGCTGCCATCACTCACCTTGGTTTGAACTCATGTTGGAGGTGACGGTGGTGGCCGTGTGTGTGGTGCCTGTCTCGTGGGTCTCGCAGGGGGGGTTGGAGCACATCCTCTGTGTTGGGAAAGGAGCCAGCAAGGCAGCACTGGCCTGGGGGGTGGCAGCGGGTGGTGCCACCTCCATGGTCCTGTGGGAGGTGGCAGCGTCGGGGAGCAGGGTGCCCATGCTGACCGACATGGTGGTGCCAGTCGAAGTGGTCTGGTGTGTCTCACAGGCGCGGCTGGTGGGGGGCTGCTGCCCACCTTCAGCCTGTCCTGTGCCCCCGCTGGAAGTAGCGGTGGTGGCCGTGTGGGTGGTTCCCGTCTCGTGTGTCTCACAGGGTGGGTTGGAGCACACCCGCTGGGCACTGCCTGCGTTCGAGGTAGTGGCAGTGTGGGTGGTTCCTGTCTCGTGGGTCTCACACGGTGGGTTGGAGCAGACTTGGGTCATGGTGGCCGAGGCCGAGGGGCACAGCAGCGCCTCCAGGGCTGTCAGAGTCACGGTGGTGTTGGACGAGCCGGTCTGAAGGCTCTCGTAGGCAGGCATGGGGGCCCCCCGTGCCGCACTGGCCTCCCCAGCCCCCATGGTGGAGCGGACCATGGTGGGGGTGTTGGTCGTGTGAGTGTGCTGCGTCTCCAATCGGCGCCCCATGGGCACGTCTTTGCTGCCAGGGCCACTCAGCCCGACTCTGCCACTCAGAGGGGCCAACTGCACAAAAGCAGTGCTGTGGCCCCCAGCCTCCAACACCACGCCTGGCCCAAGAGGCGGGCCAGCCAAACATGGGGTGCCAGTGGCCGTCACAGTCATGGTGGTGCTGGTCACGCTGGTCTGGCGGGTTTGGCACTGGGACTTGATAGAACCCTGGGCTCCCTCTGATGCCCCAGCAGCCACACTGATCCGGACCACACTGGGGGTGCCGGCCACACAGGCATGACGTGCGTCTCGTGGCTGGCCAGAGCCAATGCTCGACATAGCCGTGGTGGCAGTGCTGGTGGTGCCCGTCTCATGTGTTTCACAGGGCGGGTTGGAGCAGCCATGCTGCCCAGCCATGTTGGAGGTGGCAGTGGTGGCGGTGTTGGTGGTGCCTGTCTCATGGGTCTCGCAGGGTGGGTTTGAGCAGACGCGGACTACACTACCATTCTGCTGCCCCACAGTCGAGGTCATGAGAGAAGCAGCTGCCTCCTGCCTGTCACATACGAACTGCACTTGGGTAGGCTGGGGGTGTCCCCCAAGGTTAGCCACGACGGTGGTGGTGGCCGTGTTGGTGGTGCCTGTCTCATGGGTCTCGCAGGGTGGGTTGGAGCACACCAGTGTCACGGTGCCAGGCTGAACATCACCCTGGCCCGAGTCAGCGATGGTGACTGTGGCTGTGGGTTGTTCTGTAGTAGGTGAGGCCAGGATGGACACGGGGAGGTCATGCACGGGCTGGGCCTCAACCCCACTGGGTGCTGTGATCAGAGTCACCTGGGTAGGCTGGGAGACAGGCTGGGAGAGACATGAGACCAGAAGAGTTAATGTCACAACTGACCATGTCTGTTACCCCTACCATCCTGCACTGTCACCCACATCAGCTGGGACCACCGACTCTGCTCCTGAACAACCCTGGCAAACGCAAGATCCACTTGCCCTCTGATCACAAGACACTGATTCATGCAGAGCCCAGGAAAGAGGCAAGGGGAGGACAGGAGCCTGTCAGGGAATGGACCCCTCGTGCCATACAAAGGCCAGCCACAGACACTTCACCACTTCCAAGAATTCAGCTTGAAACGTACAAAGAGAAGAAAAACGCTATATGCATACGAAGATGAACTGCAGCAACATCTACAATGTGATAAGACAAAGAACCTAGTATTCGCAAACTGAGTACAGCTGCCAACACGGCACCTCACCGAGACAGGCTCCGAGACAGTGACTAGGCAGCTACAGGGCGAAACCCACCCCAGCTGCGCACAGAAGCAGAGAGCGGAACCCTCAGGTACCCTGGTGTGTGGCGGTTGCTGCCACGCACGGCCCTACCTGCATGGTGATGGTGGGGGTGGTGAGCCCGCCAGCCGCCGTCAGCGTGGTCTGTGCAGCTGACACGGTGATGGCAGTGGGGTTGATCACCTGGCTCGAGAGGGTGGCGATGGTGCCCAAGGTGGTGATGGGTGTGGCCAGTGAGGCACTGGTGCTGTGGCCCCCAGCTCCAGCAAGGCTGGTGGACACGGTGCCTGTCACCGTGCCTAGGGTTGTGACGCCTAAAGGAAGGAAAGCCGAGGTGGAACAAGGCCTGCTGCTACCTCCTTTCCAGCAGCTGCTCTCTGTGTATGGGGCTAGGGTACTGGGGACTCTGGAGCACAGCCAGCATGAACCAAGGCTCAAGAGAGAGCACCTGCCGTCCTCCCCCAGCCGCACGACAATGAAGTGGCTACAAGAAGACTATGGGGGACTGGAACCCAGTGGTTGCTGAGGCCCTGGCCTGCGGGCTACACACCTGTGGTGCCCTTCACAACCAATGTGGTGACGGCTGGCTTGACGGCAGAGACGGTGACAGGGGTGACCAGGCGAACGCCCCCCATGGGCACAGTGCGGAGGATGGTGCCTGGCTGTCCAGGGGCCCCCTTTAGCACCACCTGGAACACCAGAGGAAAGCGCCACCCAGGTCATTCCCGGGCTGGCTGCAGGGCACTGCCTCCCCCAGGCCCGTGAGGAGGAGGCTGGCCTGCCGAGGGGTGCTGTCCTGGATGCTGGGGTGGCAGAGGATCAATCACATCTCACCTGCGTCACTCCTTGCTGCCCGTGGCCAGTGGCAATCTTGGGGACGGCAGTGATGATTTTGGCGGGCGTTCCAGTACCCGAAGTCATAACCTTGGTGGTGATAATGGTGATGGGGGACTTGATGCCAGGAGTGCTGGTCACACCTGGATGGAGAAGAGGGAAGACGGCTCTGTGGTGGTTGTGCCCCTCAGGCCCCCTCTGCTAGCAGTTGCTCTTGCTGCCCCAATATCAAAATGAGGAGTTACAAATCATAGCCACGCCCCTGCCGTCTCCCTACGTCAGAAACAACGCAACAGAAGGCAAGGAGAGGGTGGAAAGGAGAGGAAAAGAAAACAGAAACAAAAAACATGTGGCAACCCAGCCTCCACTTCCCCTTCCTGCTTTCATCCACTGACAGCTACTTGCCAGCAAGGACCTTCAGAAATCCATGCCTTGGGGGAGGCCCCTACCCGTGGCACCCGCCTGGGTGATGATGGCCGACATAGGGATTGTTTTGATGATAGTGGTCGTGCCAGGTTTGGTAGTGCTGGGGGAGACACTGCTGATGCCCAGGATGGTGGGCTTGGTTCCCGCCCCGCTGGCTTGTGTGGTAGTGATGATGGTGGTGGGCTTGCCATCTGCTGAGGTCACCAGCTTCAGGATTGTCCCTGCTGGCAAGGGCCCTTTGGTCTGAAAGGGGAAAGCAGGGGGCGTGAACTGGCGAGCTGAACTGGCACCACTACCAGAAAGGCCAGTTTGGTCTGGCTACTCTCCACGAGCAGCCTAAGTAGCTCAGGGAGTGCTCAGGGGTGATGGGACTGAGCAGCAGGACTTTCTGAGCCACATGTGCTCAAGAAATCATCTGTGGGCAGGAATGCAAGCTTTCCCCAGGGCCCAGCACTTGCTTGTGCTTGTGTGGCAGCATCTGGGGACCACCTCTGACAGGGACCAAGAGCTCACCTGAATGATCTGAGTCACAGGGCCCGTAGATGCCTGGCCTGTGACTGCTGAAGTCTGAACTGGTTTGGTCTGGACCACTGACATTACTTTGCCCAGATTGGAAATCTAAAAAGGAAAGGATGGAGGAGAGTGATCTGGAAACTAAACAAGGGCATGGCCCAAGCTTGGACTCTCCTGGAGCTGGCCCAGGACATCAAGTCACCACTGGCAGTAGCCACAATCTGGCAGCTGTCACATGCAGCCGGGTACCACCTGTCACTCACCAGAGCACTGCCTCCTGGGACGGAGATGGGGCTCTTCACCAGGGTGATGGTCTTGGTGACGCCGCCCACCACTGTGGTCACCACCTGGGCTTGCTGAGCCACTGTCACGGTCCCTGACTTGTGCACCGTGATGATAGGGCGGGTAGATGTGTTGGCGGCAGAGGAGACAGATGTGCCCACCTGGGCAGCTGCAGTCTTCAGCATGCGAGTAGCCGGGTTGCTCACCTGGAGAAGCAGAGACAAGCGATGAGTAGGGCTGAGAAAGACTGCCCAGAGTGTCCACGGCAGCCCACGCCTCCAGCCTCTGCTCGCCTTCTTCCTCCTCCTCCACACGTTGGTTTACCTTTCCTTTAAGGACAGGAGGGAGCAGACCGAACTACCACAGGTCTAGCCTAGGGCTGTCACACCCCTAAGGATGACAGCTTATTCCACAGCCCATGGTAAGCACTAGTTATGTACCGATGACCTCATGGATTGGTCCAAAGCCCAGAAAGAATGACCACTGTTGTCCAATCATAGTGACCAGCTACTGCTGGCCCTGAGGCTGCTGACTCAGAAACCAGGCTCACCATGACTGGCGAGGAAGCCACCTTCACAGTGGCTGGTAGGGTAGTAGTGCCAGGTGTCACAGCCACAGTCTTGACGATGGTGGTGCCTGCTGGGACACTTAGCACTGTGGGTGCCGAGGAAGGAGGAATCTTCTGGGTGGCAGCGGCCGCGGCTGCCAGTGCAGCCATCCCGCTCATCTGCGGGCTGCTCCCGATCACCTGCGGCAGGCACAAGGTGCATGAGCCCACGAGGAGCATCATCTACTCTGCTCTGCAGACCCCAGCACAACTTGCCAAGGGGCTCAGCCCTGCTCAAGGAGCCTCCATCCTGTCAGCATCTCTCAGCTCTTCCTACGCCAGACCCTGTTCTCCTGGCCCCAAACACAGAGGCCTCCTACCACCGACCAGGCACACCAAGCCCAGTGGCAGGAGTTTGCCAAGAGCTCTGGATCTTTTTTGCAAGACCATAGCGTCCAAGATAGTTCATTTCTCACGGGCCTGGGTCAGACCCTGCTGGCTAGATTCTCCCCTCAGGCTCCAAGACAATAAAGTCCATCAACTCGCACCACAGCCCTATCGCGGGTGTGTGTGTGTGTGTGTGTGTGGTGTGTCGGAAACCCATCAGAGCGCTTTCTTTTTTTTTTTTTTTCCTTTTTTTTTTTTTTCGTGACCGGCAACGGGATCGCAACCCTCGGTGTTGCACCCGCACCTCGCTCAGCCAGTGAGCGGGAACCGGTCTGTATGTGGGATCCGAACCCTCGGCGGGAGCGCCGCCGCACTTCCAAGCGGCACACTGTAGCAGTGCACCACCGGGCCGGCCCAGAGCGCTTTCTTTTCATTCCATTGGATCACCGGGAAGTCCTACCCCCAACCCCCCAGCCCAGCCTGGCAACCACTCCTCACCGTCCCCTGAGCACTCTGCGTCGGCACAACCATTCGCACACCCGCGGGCAGGGAGGTCACAGTGACGGGGGCTTTCCCAGCCTGGCTGGCAGGTCGCATGGTGACCAACGGGGTTCCTGTTGTAGCCTGAGGACCGGTCACTTTGAGAACAGCAGGAACACCTAATGAGAGAAGGGGTTAGCTATTAGCATGTCACATACCTTCCACATAACATCCCCAAAGCCTCTGCTGTTGACCTGCTTGTGATTGACATCTGGCTCTTCTCTGTGCCCTCAGAACGATCGTCTCCACAGGTGGGACTAAGCATTTTCACCACCCACCCCCAGCACTCACAAAGCGCCGTGGCAGCTCCCACCAGGTACCGAATCTCCCCGGGGGGCCAGCTCCTGGCTCACCTTGAGTCCTGGCTGCAGTGGGCACGGAAATGGAGCTGCCTGGCACCGTTGGCAAGACCTGGATGGTGGTGGTGGTCGGGGGCGCGGCTGCAGCCTGGGGCAGGAGCGTGATGCCTACTTGGGTCAGCGGCTGCACAGCAGGTGCAGCTGCTGCTGGGGCTGGGCTCTTGGGAGGGTTGGCAGGCACGGATGGGACTGGATTGGGTGTGGGGGAGGCGGCAGTAGCAGCCGTGGCAGGAATGTCATATTTCTGGAGCTGCAGAAGGTAACTGTCCGCTGCTGCCACTGCCCCCCAGCTCACCTCCAGGGAGTTGGTGTTGGCTCGTACCAGCTGTACTCGGGCCGGGGGCTGTGGTTTTTCTTTAAGAGAACACAGCTGGTGAGAGGGGGAGGGGCAGGAGCTAGGGGTGGCAGTGGCGGGGGCTCAGCTAGACTGCGCCTTACCTGTCTCCAGGTACCAGAGGTCCTTGCAGCACACCTGGTTGTTCCAGGCCTTGCGGTAGCCGTCGCGCCCACTCCAAATGTACAGGCGGGTGTTGATGGCGACTGCGCAGTGGCCGGCTCGAGCCCGGGGAATGTTGTCCTCCAGTGTGTCCATCAGGATGGTCTCCCAGGCCATGGTGTCTGGGGGAGGGATCAGCAGGGAGGGCAGATGAAACCCACTACCACTCCCAGTTGCCCTTTGTCCTTTTGTTGTCAGGAAGGGGATATTAAAACCAAGAAGTTGTCAAAGACTACTAAACTAAAAACAACAAAAAAACAAAAAATCAACTCTGTATGGCAAAGAACACCATAAAAAATCAAATTCTAAGCCACAAACAACAAACCAGGGAAACTACTTGAAACGCACAGCCAAAGGTTTAACTCCTTGCACATCAAATAATACAACCACCCACAAAAAGATGGGCAATAGAAGGATCTTAAGAAAAACACGCACCCTCACTCAAAATAAGAGAAACGTGAATTTAAACCATACGGCGCCTGGCAGTTTGATTTCCATGCCTGCTGCAGCTGGGCTCAAGGCGAGCCAGGCAGGGGCCAGCTGTGGGGAGCTTCAGCCACCTATCGGGCTTGGCCAAGAGTGGTTTGACTGTGTGGCAAGGGCCAGGTTCCGGGAACACAGGCACCACTTGGGGTGTCTACGGCAGCCTCTGTACAGGGTGGCTCAGCAGCATCTGACGGCAACTCTACCGGGTTTTCACCCTTCGAGTGCACTTGCACATGGTTGAAACTGGTACGAGGATACTCGCAGAGCATTGTCTGTACAAGCCGGAGCACCATGACAGCAGTTCAAAGAATGAGGCTGCTTGCTGTGCAGATGTGGAATGGTCTCCAGGTCATAGTGAGTGAAAAAGGCCAGGTGCAGCACTGCCTGTAGCAGGCTGCCACTGTTTTGTCTGTTTGTTCTTAAAGGAACCTATAGCTAACACTTGCGTATGCAGAAGATGTCCTGCAGGGTGAATATGAAACCTCCCACGTGGCTGCTCTGAGAAGTGGCCAGAGGGAGGAGGCTTTGCACCGGATGTGCTTTTCTACTCTTAGGTCTCAGACTGTGCGGATGGAGAACCCACTGAAAAAACTAGAAGGGGGAGCGTCGCTTCAGAGCGCTCTGCCCACTGGATACGTCTGGTGGATTCTCCACAGAGACACGGGCCCAGCTCTGTTCCCTGCACCCCCACGCAGCTCTCAGGGCTGCAGAGGGTTAGCCACTCCCAGCCCAAGGAAGCCATACCTAGGTTGAGACAAGCCAGTGTGTTGGTACACTTCCACTCCTTCTCGTGTGTAGCCACTTTGACATCATCCATGACAAGAGGCACCCAGCCACCAAACACGTACATTCTGGGAGGGGGAAAGAAGAGTAAGAGAGGACTGCAGAGGAGGCACCAAGCTAGAGGCTATCTCTTCTACCCAGGAAGCTCTAAACATGGTTGGTCCTGTAGTTCTCCCCGGGAAAGCCCCCAGGATGCATGAAGTCTTCTGAAGCGGCCCTCTCCTACCTGGTGGCTCAGCCCTCACAAGAATGGTGTCATGTCTACTGCATAAAACCACTCATCTAAAGCTCACTTTAATCTCCATCCTTAGATTCCCTTTAGGGCCCTGGCATTCATAGACACCCAGCTGTTTCCACAGACGATCTAGAACAATCTATACCCTTGATGAGGCAGAGCATCACAGGCCTGGGAAGGGTCTCAAGCTGGGCTTATGTGCAAGCTCCCTCCACCCTGAATTTGTCTTCTCCTGGGTCCCCCAGGGTCGTAATGAAAAAACGGGGCTGCTGAATGCCAGCCCAGCCAGAAAGAGGCACCCTGGGGCCTTAGAGATTGTCAGAACAAAACCGACTGAGAATCCCTTGGGGCTAGGAGCGGCGATAGGTTAGAAAATAGAAAAGTGGGCGAACAGCCACTCACTTGTTTCCTATGGTAGTTGCTGAGTGTAGACTGCGAGGCAGAGGTGCCACCCCGCTGAGACAGGGTTTATTCCATGTCAGAGTCTCTGTACAGAGAGAGGAGGGAGGACGGAGGGTTACCCATGCTGGATCAGAAGCAAAGGACAGTCCTTGGACTCAGGGAAGGCACAGGAAGGCAGGTTCCAACCCAGTGCAAGAAGTCCCCAGCAGGCCCTCTGACTGTTGTCCTAATAGCCAGATTCTAGCAATTCCCAAGCCGTTTTGACCATCCTAGCAATGTTTTTTCAAACATGTACCGAGCACCTGCTACAAGCCAGCAGTGTTCTCGGTGCCGGGCAGGAGTGGGAAGCTCATCCTTCAGCTGCGCCAGCTTCTCTTCCTGATCTCCATGAAATACATGCATCCCCACAGCGCCTCAACAGTCTACAGAACATGTTTTGGGAAATACTGTGCTGGAAATTTCTCTCATACTAAACTGTTTCTTTTGAGTGCCGACTCTGATCTATGGGACAACATAGCTAACATCTACTCTACAGACAGCTCCCCAAAAGTTCCATAGTTAGCAATCTTCTGCCAACTACTCCTGTGCCATCATCTGGTTACCTGCCCAACTAGCCCCCAAAGGCCTAATGGTCTAGCGACATCCAATTTTACTGCGACAGTCAGACCAGGATGCACTATTCCACATACAGTCTGACCACTGATGAGCCAACAGTGACTAATGCTACCCAAATCGAGAGAATTCCATTCTAGAAAGGCCTTAATCTCTCTTTATTTTCCTATAAGCCAGCAGACCAACTTGGCCAACTGAGCCTTGCTTTTTCTTAAAAGCAATGCCACCAGTGCCGGGTAAAAATAACACCTTAAAACCTAGGGACAATCTCGGGTCTTGCCCCCACCCCATCATCACAAGAGGAAAGAGCTAAGTGAAACGCACCAGTTCCCGTGAGCCCCACCTCAACATCCGATGCTGGCGGCCCATGAGGTCAGGTGACCAGCAGACTTGCTTTGCCCCAAGCTTGCTGGAGCACTGCCACCCAGCTTCTTACCAATATCCAGGGTCCAGAGGTCGCCTAGCCTGCAGCCACTCATTCCTCCATAGATCACCAGCTTGGATTTCTTGTTGTCTTTTTCAGTGTAGACCACGGCAGTATGTGACTCCCGGGGTGGGGGCAGGACCCCGTAAGTGATGGGGATGTCCCAGGCCACTACTCCAGAGCCTGGCCGTAATTCCAGGATATATAAGTCATTTAGGTACCTGAAGAACAAATGCCAGTTATGGCCAGCTTCGGCTCCCCGAGCCACAGGCTTCAGTGGGTATCTATCAGGGAACAGCGGACTCCCTGGAACTTAAAGGGGCCAAGACCGTGTGAACTCCAAGTTCTTCTTCCACCCTTGCCTCTGAGGAAGGGGCTGCCAGAAGCTCCCAAGATGAGTCCAACTGGAGCAGTAGGATGGTGTGTATAAAACCGAGCAGCAGCCTCCAATTCACACCCAGCAGTAGGCCCCTCTGGGCCGCCATGCACACAAAGCTGGCCATTATACAAGGGCCTCCCTAGAGCAAGAGGGGGCGTCAGCTTGGGACTACCTCCAGACAGAAAGGCCCTTGGCCACGGGCCTTGGAAAATACCCATCAGGAAACTTGTAGGCAGCGGAGGCTGAGAAGGACCGCAACCAGCTTTAAATTGGTTCTCAAGAGCATGGCCCAGTCCAAGGCAAAGTAGGCTTTCAGCTCCTGGTTCGGCCCTCTGCCCACGAGGCCTACTCAGGGTTAGAGATTTTAGAGCCAGAAAGCTCCTTAGAGGGCATCGAGCTCCACTCTCTCATTTTACAACCCAGCACAGGAAAGAGACTTGGCTTTAGGATTCCACCGAGCCCCATATATGTGCGAGCACACTGGCCTTGGTAGGATTCTACAGGAAAGAAGACAAAGCCTCACCGTGGAATGTTGTTCTTGGGGTCCTCGCTATCGTTGGCCAGACCCCCGAACAGGTAGCATTTGTTGCCCACAAGGGAGAAGCTGTGCCCAAGCCGAGGACACGGAGGAGGCCCGTTTTTGGGAGTCTTCGCTTTGAGTTTCTTCCACTCCCACCGACTTGCCTGTGAAATCAAGACTTGGAGACTGAATCCTGGAGTGAGAAGGCCACGACTGGGGGGCCCGGGGCAATTTGTCATGTGGGGAGAAGACGGCCTGGGGTGAGATAAGCATCCTGTTGGAGCATGCAGGTCCTTGGCCATTCAGGCCCAACCTCCTCTGAGGCTGGCCAAGCTCAGAGTAGCCTTGGAAGGCTCTTGAGCAGTCCCCTCCACCTCCTCACTCATCCCAACCCCCCAAGACACTATCGTATTGAACACTAAGAGGGGGTCACATAGGGCCAAAGACGAGGCAGCTCCCAGGGGCTCTCTGCTCTGTTACCTGGAGCTCATAGAGGTCATTGCTGTATTTCCCATATTCCACCATCCCACCAAACACCAGGAGGCGAGTCCCGTCGCACACGAAGCCATAGGCTGCACACCCAGGAGGGATGTCCCCTCTCACAGCTGGGATGAACCACTGGTTGGTCGCTAGGGAACAAAAGGAAGCAAAAGTCAGAACACCCGGGAGCTCTGAGAACCAGAGTCCCCACTCCTCTTAGTCCCAAAATCCATCGGCCTTCAAATGCAGCCAGAGAAAGGAGGGACCAAGCCAGAGCCCCATCTCTAAGGGACCTCTCCTGGACCTCCTCCTGTCAGTATCTAGCCCCAGCCATTATCCAAGCCATCTTCCAATCCTCTCGACTTCAGACCACTGCAAAACAGCCTGTGATCACCCTGCTTCTCATCAAGGTCATCTTAACAAGCAGGAAGTCACTGACCAAGATAATTCATCAGCTTCTGGGAATCTGGCCACTGACTTCCTTCCCTACTGCTTGGTGGATCATCAGAAATAAACTTTTATATCCAAAATACCCTCTATGTGGCCCCATGCTCCTCCTCCCGGGAACCCATGTTTCTCTCTCTCTGCACCATAGGGTCGAGATAGCAAGAGCCCACGGCTGCACCTCTGAGTGGCCAAAACAGCAACCACTGCAGGACGGTGCCTTCCCTCCATGCAGGTGGCCGTGGACAAGCACGGGAGACTGGACAGCACCAGCCCCATTTGCTGGCTAGGGAGAGTCACTAGGTGTGCCTCAGCCTCAGCCTGTGCCTCTGCTCCAACTTCCCTGGCCTCGCTCATCTCTGCTCTGACTTCCCTGACGCTCTGTCTCCTAGGTGATGGTCCTCAGGCTCCGTGGCAACACCAGCCTCTCCCCCACTGCTGCCACGCCTACGCCACTCCAGAACATTCTTGCAAGCCAGAGGTGGCAGCCACAGCAGAGCTTCTGTAACAGAAGCTTCTCAAAAGTCCATTGCTGGGCCGGCCCCATGGCGCACTAGGGAGAGTGCGGTGCTGGGAGCGCAGCAATGCTCCCACCGCGGGTTTGGATCCTATATGGGAATGACCGGTGCGCTCACTGGCTGAGCGCGGTGCGGACGACACCAAGCCAAGGGCTGCGATTCCCTTACCGGTCACAAAAAAGAAAAAAAAAAAAAAAAAAAAGTCCATTGCTTCTAGCTGGGGGTGGGGTGGGGAGACCACTAAGAGAGAAGGCAAATCAACCTCCAGGGACTGCCTTGTCTCCCCAAGACAGTGGAAACAGCACGGGCCAGCCTTCAGCTAGGATCACACCCATGTCCCCACACACCTGCTGTGCCAGGGCTTCCTGGAAAATGAGGGGTCCTTCCCATTACATGTTACTTAAAGGGCTGTCTTTCAGGATATGCTACACTGTCTCCAAAACCCCCAAACTAGGGGCCAGATGCAAACCTGACTCCTTCTAAATGATTTTTGGTCTGAGCAAGTACACTACAGGAAGGAGTTGACGCTCTGGCTCCAAGGCGGTGGTGCTGCATAGAGACAGGCAGAGAAGAGACAAAGCCTCTTCACACGACGGGAGAATAAAGATGGCCCACCCCCAAATTTTATGGGTGACAGGGGGTAGAATATTCCTGCTGGGAGGGAACTTGGGAGGCTTCTGCAGACCAGTCCCAGTTGCTCACTGCTTCTCAGCCTGACTTTCCACACAGGGATGCTGTGATACTGTCATACCGTAGGAAATACATGTTTCATTCGGTGACCACAAGTGTTATGAGAGTACAGAAGAGGAAAAACTTTGTGTTTTCCTTACTCAGATGCATTTAGGAAAAGGGGCTGGCCATGGGAACAAATACACCCCCCCCACTGCATTCTGTGAGTACTATGCTGTCACCCCTAAGGCTCAACATGCAACTCAGCATGGCAGAGGTGGCCACCCTCATCTAGAGCACAGCGGCACCCTTCCGGCTCACCAGCCCACGCTAAGCGTGCCTCTCTAGCTCTCCGCTGGCCAACCTACACAGGTGGACTGTGAACAGGCTGTTGGTCTCTTCAGCCGTTTAGCTGCGTCACTGGGACTCCAGAATGCTGAGCACCGACCCTCCACTGCTGTTTTCCTAAAGCCAAGGCCCAGCATGTGAACTGCCAGCACACACACACACACAGACACGCATGCACCCAGACCACGGCTCTCTGCCTCTTTCTCATTCTTGGTGCAAAAAACCAAGAAAAGCTGGAGCTTTCAATGCCAAGGCAAATCAACCTTGCACAAGTTGGGAAAACGGCCTCAAACAATCCCTGGAAGGAACTTCATCCAGGCTACCAGGATAAAAGCTGAGTAACCTCTGAGATTGCCTCAGTCAACCTCTCTCAGGTGAGAAAGGAATACAGGCCAGGAGGGAAAGTGACTTACCTGAGGTCACAGAGTTAAAACAGAAGACAAGAATCTTGTCACTGACTTAAAATGATCAATATGTGCCTGCCTAAGGGTCCCATGTACATTCAGCCACCAGCCACCCTAACTCACCTGAGCACCCGTGTCTGAGACACATAGCTATCAGGGCCATCGGTCAGGGTTTGGGACAAAGCTAAATGGCAAATGGAATCTGCCTGTGGCTTTCCCATCACACTGTGATCACTGGCCCAGCTAGCCAGGCTAGAAGCAAACTGTGATGTCCCTGGAGCTCTTGATCATCAGATCCTTCTACGCGACCCAAGAGGTGCTGATCTCGTTCTAGAATACTCCAGGCAGAGCAGGGGCCCTCCCCAACCCCCCATTGAAAAAAAGTGCATCAGGGACTGCAGTTCTTGGTGTAAAGATGAACTCTGACTCTCTTCACTTCATCCACAAGCCCCTGCTCCATCCCCTGAAAGAGCACAGGGGAGAAGGCGAGCTCTTCTCTTTTGTCCCGCCCCTCAATCATTTGGGGGCGTCATGTACCCAGTCCCTGGGCCCCTCATTCTGGATATGCTCTAGCTTGTCACTGGCCTCCAGGCTGGCTCTCAGGTGGGAGAGGCATTTGAGGAAAGGAGGCCACCGGCCCGCAGGACCCTTCATGGGACAAACACCATTCCACCTTCCCTCTCCTCAGCAAGACCAAAACTCCAGCTTCTATTTGTTCTATCAGCTCCCCCACCAGTTTTCATGCTTTGCCAACTCCATTTATAGCTGCTGTTGCCGTCCCATTGGCCTCTAATGCGTCACCATCTCTTAGTGACAGATACCCACGCAGTGGGGCAGTTCAAGGAAGTGCCTTCCTTTCGGTAGAGCATTTCCTGTGTGGCAAACAGCGTGCTGGGTGGCACAGAGGAGACCGCTCTTGTGCTCATACTCCCATCTGACAGGAAGGCTGTGCACCCTCCTCCCACGATGGGAGGAGGACTCCGGAAGAGCTCTGAACCAAGCCGGACCCTTGGGAGCACAGAGCAGGGGCTCTGGGGTGGGGGAGAGCGGGAGTAGAAAAGGCTTCTCAGAAGAGGTGACACTTGAGCTGGGCCTTGAAGGTGAACAGGATTTCCCAACAAATGAAGCTAGCGAGGCCAATTGGGAAGTGACTACAAGAGCCTTGTAAGAAGTGAGGCAAACCAGAATGGAGGAGCAACAGATCTGACACCAGCTTGACTAAGTGACCAACTAGATACAGGGACAGAGGAAAAGGGAGATGTCTCTACGGTGGCGGCTGCAGCCTGTTAACCGAAGTAAGAGACAGACAGCAGAACAGTCCCTGTGAAGGTCTGCACTCCTGCCCAATTCCACTACCAGCTGGTGAGGTGACCCTGGACCTGTCATTTCCCCTCTCAGACCCCACTTTCCTCATCTGCAGAAACAAGGAAGCTCCACCAGATGTCTTCAAGGTTCTTTCCAGCTGTAAGTCTATGGACATTAAAGAACCACTAAGGCAAAAACAGACGTGGGCAAGCACCCCCACCCTGGCAGCACTGTGGATCCTTTGGCTAGGGCTCTGGCCAAAAAGCAAAATTTTATTTATTTATTTTTTTTAAGTAAAATTCCCTGAGAACAAGGACAGTAGCTACCCTAAGCCCTCCCAAAGGCCAGTCAAGTGTCCTGCTGTTGCAGTGGGGACTGAAGCTTGCTCGCTCTCTCTCATGCTCTACCCTTCCAGTGCACATGCTCCATCCCCCTGGACCTTGCACCCCCAGATCATAGAGCTAGAGACAGTGAAGAGCACACACATCCCCTGAAGCTTGTTTTCCCTCAGGGGGTGGGGGTGCTTTCAGATCAGACTTCTCTCCAGAGGAGCAAGTCTTTTTGAGGACTGATCCTGCAGAAGGAACTGTGAGAGGCAGAGGCATGTGGGGAGTATGCCCTGACCTTATGTAAAATAAAACAAAAGGAAACAAAACAGCGGTGCGCAGGACAGCAGCTGCTGGGCGCTGTAGGAGAGGGGCCCGCCAGGCCCCACAGGCGCAAAACCCGCAGCTGCCAAGTGCTCTGCAGATCCCCGCTCCGTCAAAATAATGAAGGAACAACAGGGCGTTGGGTCTGCTAGCTGCTCTCTAGAGAATTCACCTAAAGAATTGATTATGACGGTTTCCGAACGGCTAACCCTAAGGATCCCAGGGCTTCGTTTTAAGCAGCCCTTTGGAAGGCTGGCTACCCTCTAACACACAACCCATTTTTGCAGGATGGCAATGAATGAATGCCAAAGTGGTCAATTCATTTTAATAAACCAATGAATATGCAGAGGCCCCAGGAAGCCAAGGCTGGCGGATGGCAGTGGACTTTGGAGCTGACTGTAATTAGGCCCCTGCCCTACTTTCTAAAATTGCATTTTCGGCCAGGGAGCCTGCTCCAGGACTTAGAAGAAAGTCGGTCCAAGGAGTTGAGAAGGTGCTGCTCACGGCGACAGCATCTCTAAAAACAGCCCTACCACACTTGAGAACTTGTATCCCTGCCCCTTGGCCTTAGCTTACTGGGATAATCCCTGCCACCACAGCTGCCTGGGCTGGCACTGAGCACCACCAACCACTCCCCACCCACCCCTGCCAGCCCCTGGAGGCCCCACTCCCTGGGGGCAACAGGTGCTGACAGACCGCAGTGAAAACGAAAAGGGTCACCAGAAACCCACCAGACTTTCAAAGTCAACGTGGAAGGGGCAATAACGTACAAGGTGCAGAGAAACCTGTGCTCTGCCTTGTCGAGTGGGGAGGGGAGCACCTGACCAAGAACCCGAACCCAGCCCCAGCCCTCCCACCCCCCAAACCAGTGCCACCGCCCGCTTCCCACCGCCAGAGCTACGAGGCGACTGGGGGCCAGTCAAAAGAACAGTGCCCAGGACGTGAAGCCCACAAAGAGCTCGTCTTCAGGACACCGATGCAGGCTGAACCTCAAAGCCGGGAGTAGGTGCCCGTGATCTCCAGAGCCCTAGGAGAGGATGGACAAGGCAAGAAAGGAGCTGTGACAACGGCAAGGGGGAAAGCGCTGGGGGACGCACCTCCCTGCTGAGGAGAGGACTTCCTGAAGCCCACTGTCTGCCATGGGGGCTTTTCTCCTGCACCCAACGTGCCACCATCCTTGTAAGTCTTTCTTGCAGGCTCTCCCCTGGGATTGAACTCACAGAGACCTTCCTACAGGGCAAGGCGAGGGTCCTGTGTGCCTATGATTAGTCAACAGGCAACTCAGGAGCCAACCCTGTGCCAGGTGTAGGAAATGGGGGAAAGATGTGACAAAGTGTCGTGGAAAGCAGCAGGCTTTCTGCCCTAGAGACCGAGCAAGGCTCCCAAGAGGGAGAGGGGCACAAGGTCCGCCGGTGCATCAGCGGTACCCGGAGAGAGAGAGAGAGAAAGGCTCCTCCCGGTAACGAGGAGGCAGAAAAGCAGGCGGGATAACCCCTTCGATCTTGCAGGAGCCAGGTACACGACTACCCAGCCCGCTGCGGAGAAACTGGAAGACACAGGATTAGGGAAGGAGACAATTTGAAAAGAAATACTGTAGAAATAAATGCCAAAAGCCTGGCGGGGGGCGGGGGGGGAGGGAACAGCACGTCCTATCATATCTGTCCCCGCGGCTCTGGCACAACCAGGGAGACAGTCCCCCACCGCTGCACACAACCCCCGCAGGTCGGATGAGGCTGTTACACTCTGCCTCTCAATAGAGCTTCCCTCCCTTTTTCTAGAGACAGACCCAATCTGTAATCTAGAAATCGTCATTTCTCCAGCATCGGCACTAGAGACGGGGAAGAACGGAGCAGGCGCAGGAGGAGGGTGGGAGGCGGAGAGGGAGGGGGCCCTGCCTGCGCCAAGGGGACATATCCGCCGCCCCAGCCGTGGGGTAACGGTGTCTGTCTGGACTCATCACCGCGGGCGACACCCTCCCCCTCCGCAGCGGACTAGAGGATTTCTGTCAAGTACCGAAAAGCCATCCTCATACACAGTAGAGACGGGGCGGGGAGCCAAAAACGGGGAGAAGATCAGGGAGAAGCAGCGAAGCTCGGCAGAGCCAAGGGGAGGGCAAAGCAGAGACGGAGAGTGAGGGATGGGAAGAGGGACAGAGGAAAGGGGAGGCGGGGAGGGGGAGACGGAAGGGAGGAGATCGAGGGAGGGAAAGCTCCGAAGACCCAGCGGGCTTTGCACTCACCCGTGTTGTACACGTGCAGTTCGTCCACTATCCCCTCGTTGCCGCCGCCAAACACGACGATGAGATCCTTGATGGCCACGGCACGGTGGCCGTGGCGGGGCCGGGGCACCGGACCCGACCAGCCCACTACTCGCTTCCAGCGGGGCTGCAGGAGCACCGCTGGCGAGTTGGCGGGCGACACGGCCGAAGCCATAGTTCCCGGAAAGGGTGCGGTGGCAAGAAGTCACCAAGCGGGAATGGAGCCCCTCAATTCCTCACACACACACCCCCTTTCGTCTAAGACAGCTCTCACAGACAAGCGGTTCCTCACACAGCGGTGGACGACTCCATGGAGGCCGCCATCTTAACTATCCTCCTTCCCTTTGGCTCTTCCCCTTTTTCTCGCTCACCCCGTCTCCTCAAGAGCCTCCCGAAACGGTCCGGCGCGTAGGCCCGAGAAGCTGGAGGCCGCCGAGTCCCCCCGCTCTGACTATCTGCCCGGGCGCTCCCGCTTACAAGCTCGGGCGGGAGGCCCTGGGAGCCGCCATCTTGAGCCGCCTCTCTCTCCTCCCTTCCTCAGTCGTAGCCCTCCCCCGCCGGAAATGGCGGAGCCCCGGCCCGGTTCCCACACCCCCAAGTCCCCAGCACTGGCCGGCTTCCGGGGCGGGTGGAAAGGAGCCACAAGCGCCGCGATCGTCCCAGCCCCGCCGGCGCTCAGACCACAATTGTGGGAGCCGCCATCTTGAGCCGCCTCTCTCTCCTCCCTTCCTCAGTCGTAGCCCTCCCCCGCCGGAAATGGCGGAGCCCCGGCCCGGTTCCCACACCCCCAAGTCCCCAGCACTGGCCGGCTTCCGGGGCGGGTGGAAAGGAGCCACAAGCGCCGCGATCGTCCCAGCCCCGCCGGCGCTCAGACCACAATTGTGGGAGCCGCCATCTTGAGACCGTCCCGCTTCCCCGCCTAGCGCTTAGCGCAGCCGCCGCTCCCGAAACAGCCTCGTCAGTCCTAAGGAATAGAGGCACTCCGGAGGCCGGTGGAACCTGCTCGAATTCTTGGAGGCTGCTCTGGAATTCGCGCCGTAGGGCTCGTGAGGTCTCGCACCTCTCCCCTTAGTCCGCCTCTGCTGCTCAGGCTGCGCCTACCGCCCTGGGAGCCGCCATCTTGAGACAGGCTCACCCTTGCTCCCTATTCTCTTCGTCCTGGGTCAGTTCTTCTACTGCAAACCAAACGCAAGGCAGCGTCCGATCCTCTCTTCCCTCCTTGTGACTCCTTCCCACAGAAGCCGCTCCAAAGATCCAGAGTTAGGCGCAGAAGTGGCAACTGTACGGCAGGAGGAGCGGTAACAGCAGGGCGCTCATGCCTCCTCCCTGGGAGCCGCCATCTTGTGTGAAGAAGTAACAACTAAACATGGCCGCGGCGGTCGGGCGAGGGGGCGGGGCGGGGCTACGTCAGTGCTCTCCCGCCCCCGCCCTCACGGCTTCGCCTCCAAGTCCAAGCTTCTTAAAGGAGCCCTGCGGTGCCTCACGGCGTAGGAACCGGCCTCGCCAAGCGCTCAGCTAGGACTCGAGCGGAGCTTCGGTCAGGTGCCGGTGCGCCCCGCCCCACGGTCCCCCCCAGAGCGCCTCCACGCCTCCGCCCTGGGAGCCGCCATCTTGCCACTTCCCCTCGCCCGGCCGTCCGCGGGCGTCAATAGCGACTTTCTCCACAAAACAAATATGGCGGCAGCGGCATCTGTGGAATGCCCGGATGAGAGTGCTAACCCCTCAGACGCGCTCAGCCCCGCCCCCTTGGGAACTGTCTCCCGAGTCGTGGGAGGGACACAGGTCCAAGGAGTTGCTTTTAAAGAGCAGTGGGGACAGGGGCACGGGTTGCTAAGGGTGGCAAGAAGGAGACATTACAGCCGGGCAGCGGGCTTTTTCCCGCCCCACACACCCAACAGCAGCAAGAGGCCGCCCGAGGTTCGTCACGGGGGGAGCCGGAGGCGGGGTGAGAGTGG